ATTCTACAAGCGAAAGGGGATTCAAATCCAGCCAACCGTAGCATATTCTCCGCAACAGAACGGAGTTGCCGAGAGGTTCAATCGAACGCTAATTGAAAAGGTAAGGACAATGCTGATCGACTCGAATATGCCCAAGTACATGTGGTCGGAAGCAGTGCTTACCGGTACGTATATATTAAATCGTTGCCCTACTGCTGCTCTATCGGACAACCGTACGCCTACTGAGTATTGGACCGGTGTGAAACCTGATCTATCGAAATTGAGGATTTTCGGATGCAAAGCATTTGCATGGGTGCCAGGTCAACTCCGGAAAAAGCTGGACAACAAGAGTCGCGAGGCGGTGATGGTGGGCTATGCTCCCAACGGATACCGCCTTTGGGATAGAACGTCAAGAAAAATCCTCGTAGCCCGTGACATCAAATTTGACGAGAATTCATTACCGTACGCTTTTGAAGACAGTCAAGATTCGAGGGTACCGTTGGTGATTCCAATGCTGTATCCGGCCGTCGAAGATGACCAGCAAGCTGAATTGGAAGAGCAGCCAGATGACCAGCAAGTTGAGTTCGAAGACGCAATGCCTGTGCTAAGTGATGACGAGGATGAGGTTGAACTAGACGAACAACCTGAGGAGCAACTTGAAAAACCTGGGGCGCTCCCTTCACAATCAAGAGGTGAAGACTGTTCAGAGTCAAACACTAGGCGTGGTGAACGGGAGCGCAGGCTTTCAGGTAAGTTTCTTGACTTTCTAACTGGGTTCAGAGCAACGTCTGGTGGAAAAAATTCAACATTCCCAGATTTCCCGGATTCGTACGATGAAATTAACGCGCGGAATGACCAAAAACTGTGGCTGGATGCAATCGATGAAGAACTGAAATCCCTGGAGGCCAACAAGGTATGGGAATTGGTGCCATGCCCAACCGGCGTCAAACCGCTGCAGTCAAAGTGGATCTTCCGCACGAAAGAGGATGAAGAAGGAGACCCTGTGCGCTATAAAGCAAGGTTGGTCGTCAAAGGTTTCTTGCAGAAAGCCGGTTTGGACTACAACGAAACTTACGCACCTGTGAAGTTGACGACAATCCGTATTGTGCTGGCTGTCGGTGTTCAAAAAGGGTTCCATTTCCACCAAATGGATGTGAAGACGGCGTTTCTTCACGGTGAGCTGCAAGAGAAAATATTCATGGCGGTTCCGAACGGCGTCAAGGCGAGAGCTGGCACGGTGTGCAAATTGAAAAAGAGTCTGTATGGCTTGAAACAGTCCCCTCGCTGCTGGAACGAGAAGTTCAATCAAGCGCTGCTGAAGTTAGGTTTTATTCGTTCCAAGCACGATTATTGCCTGTACACCCGTACCGACGAGAGGGGGGAAGATGCCATTTTCGTCGTACTATATGTTGATGACCTTCTCATAGCGGGAGCGAAGCTGTCAACAATTTTGAAATTGAAGAACGAATTATCCCGGATGTTCGCCATGACCGACTGTGGAGAGCTTAGCCATTTCCTTGGCATGAAGATACGCTACAATCGACAAGACGGAAAGATGATGCTGTCTCAAGAAGCAAGCCTAGAAAAGATCTTCCAGAAGTTTGGCATGTTGGAATGCAATCCTACAAGGACCCCGATGGAGAAAGGGTTGCAGCTTTATCGTCAAGTTTCCGAAGCTAATGGAGTACCGTATCGTGAGCTACTGGGAAGTTTAATGTACGTGATGGTATCAACGAGATCGGACATTTGCTATCCTGTCGGGTACCTGGGGAGATTCCAAGCTCAACCCGGACAACAGCACTGGTTCGCGCTCAAGCGAGTAGTGCGTTACCTGAGAGGGACGATGGATCATTGCTTGACTTTAACCCGGGATGTTCAAGCAAAACCACTAGTTGGGTTCGCGGATGCAGACTGGGCTACCGATACCGAGGACAGGAAGTCAGTGAGCGGATTTGTCTTCCAGGTGTTTGGATCGACTGTTGCCTGGTCTAGTAAAAAACATACAACGGTCGCCACTTCATCAAGTGAAGCAGAGTGGCGTTAAGCGCTGCAGCATCGGAAGCAATATGGTTGATTGGTGTCCTAGGCGATTTGGGGGAAAAGCAGATCGAGCCAGTTGCCATATATGAAGACAATCGTGGGTGCATCGGCATGGCTAAGAACGTGGAGAGCAAGAGAGTGAAGCATATTGATATCAAACATCATTTTCTTCGGGATCTTGTCACCGCTGGGAAGCTGCTGATAGAACCAATTGCAAGTGAGAACCAATTAGCTGACTTCTTTACCAAGTCCTTGGACGCTGGTCGATTCGAGGAATTAAGGACGAAGCTAGGAGTATCCAAACGAGAGGGGGTGTTAACAAAGTAGGCGTTGGATTGCTGTCTTGAACACTCCAATCAATTTTCTAGCGTTATTCCATATCAAGACACTGAAAAGAGCAGTCATACCAAGATAACTTTATCGTTAATAAAACTTGTTCATTGTTAAGTGTTGTCCTGGTTATTTCCTGTCCGCCCCATCCGCACCGTATTCCTTTAAAAGATTACAACCTCAGAAGAATGGTTTGTGTTTTTGCTAAAATTTCTATGCATTGCTTCCACCTTCACTCAAGCGCAGCGCTACTGTATCTGTCGCTTGAATTTTGGCAAAGTTGCCAGTCTTTTTGATTTGTTGTCTTCGGTAAAATGCTTCCCATGATTAGACAATGCAGTGCCCTTTCAGTCTTCATCAAAAATATAAATAAGCGAAAATATATTAAATAAAATATTTCTATTGTTGTTTATTTTTCAAAGCATATAGCAGTCGAATTAAAAATAATTCATTTTTGAGATGAAAACATACATCGTTGCGATAAAAATGCCCATCTTTTAAATTAAATCCTTTCGTGAGTCTATTTAAAAAACATGGGTTTTTATTTTGACAGTTCTACAATTCGATTTGAAAGTTTCTACTTTTAAAAGTAAAAAACGAGTTACTTTTGAATTGACAGTTGGATGAATTTTGTTTTGAATGCTATAGACTTTCTACCAAAAAGAACCAACGTAAACTTTTAATTCTACCAATGGTTTTTTCAATTTAATTAACGGTAATTCTACACAAAGAATTTCGACTAAAATGGGGTTATATAAACGATTTGCTAGGACCCAATAGATCGCCCAATAGACTAGTCAAGAAAACAGCAAAAAAAAAAAATGTAATTTCGATCAATGTAATTCAAGCTGATGTATGAAATAATGATGTAATAGCAAAAAGCAGGTACAATATTACATCAATGGATGTAATTTTGTTCACAAAATAGATGTACATCGTACAACGTTATATTACACAACCGATGGATTGACCTGGTTGCAGCAGTTTGGATGTAATATTCAACAACTTTTTTTTTTCTGTGTAGTGAACCAATTTAAAATCGTTAGTTTCCACCGGTTGTTATAACTTAGTTTGCGTATGGACAAGTAAAAATCTTCAATCAGGTCAGACCTATTATAATCTTTTACATCATCATAAATTTCATTATCTGTTTCCTCGCACAAATCCGCAACAATTTAAAAAACAGAAACTGCACCCGCAATTACTAATAGTTTTCCACTATCAAGTCCATTATCCGATGTAAGGGAAATGGCTCTAATGTTGGCCTATGGATCTAAGATTGAGCCCATTGCTAAAAATCTGCTATTCATCAATTTTATCTAGATGAACGCGTCATTGGGACGATACTAATGGATATTTTTGGTCGCTATTGGAAATTTAGTCGATTGCTGAATTTATGTATGGGCCCAAATTAGGGGCATTAAGGCTGACATTACATCCACTTTCCCTATATATCTTAATCGCAATTGAAATGTAGCTGAAATATAATAAATCAGTTTAAAAAAGACTTTCATCTAAACGACAATTCAATCATCAATATGGTAGATTACTTACGCTACATAAGGCCTTTCCGTCACACTTTGATCGGGATGAAGCGAACAGAATTGAAACCACTTTTCTAACGACGCTCTTTGGGAAACCAGAAGAAACATTTTATTCGGTGTATTGTTACCTCGATTATTACAGAAGGATACCATGCATTTCAATGAAATTTTTCCAATAATCACTACCACTTCGTTTCACCAGCCGACAGTCACTCAAATTAAAAGTCACTCGAAGTAGACACAAAATTGCGGGTTGACAAAACTTGCAGACAAATTAACTTAGCTGGCCATGCAACCAGATTTACTTTTATTCTCTCCGCGCGTCTCTTATAAAACATCGTCTCTGGTTGCACCTTTCACCATAATAAAAAATACCATAAACGAACGATAACCCAAACGATAACGTTAAGCAAAATAACCATAACAATTTTATTAGGGAATGCAATCAATCGTTTCATGTCGCATTAATGCATTAATGCAATGCATTAGGTCCTAAGTAACATTGACAGATTCTCTTCGTCGACTTTCTCTTTGCATCCTCACGGCCATGTTAAGACATTCCGAGCTATTTTCAGCTCACAGATCGATGGGAGACGCTATTATCATAGAGGTAACTCTAAGACCAGAAGGTCCCGGAGAAACGTGCTCAACTTTTTGGCTCAGCTCTGGTACTCTCTTCGGTCCCAAGTTAATCGATGCACCCCTTGAAACATAGGAAAATCCACGAACCCCTCATTTTATCTGTCAAACTTTCATAGCAAATCAAAACAAACATTGTGTAGTACTAGAATTTCGACTAGAATGGGGTGCGATAATCGATTTGCTTGGGACCAATAGGCTAGTCAAGTAGTGGGCCAATTTAAAATCGATAGTTTCGTATTGATTGTTGGTTATACTGAAAATAAGTGTTCTCTGCAAAATAGTATTCCTAACTATTATATTTGTTTCAGTGTATGACGAATGTGTATAGAGCTGTTCCCAATCGAAAAGGTTCGGCTGTATAACAGTTATGCCAGTTATTTCATTTATTTATTCTGACGGCAGCCGTCAGGCAGTTCATATTTTTATAAACGTTTCTTCGTTTAGCCAAAAATTTTGGAAAAGGTATTTTTGCCGTTCAGTTTTAGTGAAAAATTCGATTAAAACCGACTGAAAAGGTGCTCCAATAGCGATGGGTTCATCAAAAAAGCATAAGAAGGAATCGAAGAAACATAAACGCCGTTCGCGGAGCCGATCTCCGCAAGAGAAGCGCAGTCGTTCGTTCTCCGGGGAAGATGAGGTGGTGGAGGAATACCCGGAACGCTATAGGAAGGAATCGACCACTACTGGCGAGAAGAGTCATCGGCACAAGAAGCACAAGAAAGAGAGGAGTGAACACAAACAGTCCCAACGGCGGACCAAGCCGTCGGCGTCGAATCGATACGAGGAGGGCAATGGCCAGGAAAGTGGAAACAGCAGTCGGCACAGGCGGGAACGCGAGCGGGAGTATGTCGAGGTGGCCGAGGACAGCGATAGTAAGTAGTCATGATTGTTTTTTTTTTGCGGGAAGTAGATAGGTTGCAGGTGGAAGAACATCCTAATGTAGGCGATTTTAGAGTGGAAAGTGTTCTTCCATCTTGTGCACTTCCCGTTTGGTTTGATTGGAAATTACTAGCAAATTTTCCTCGTTTATTTTTCAGGACACCCAATCCTAATTCCAAGGTCCTCTGACGTCATGAGTGTAAGTTTATGGGAACCCGTTTGAACGGTTTGCTTTTCTCTCGCTTCAGGTTCCGATTGCATAGAGGTCCCGGTGGACGATGATATTCCACCGCCTCCGCCTCCGATTACCCGAAGAGTTCCGTCACCAGAACCGGAACGCAGATCCCCGTCGCCACCACCACGGGTGATGGCGTCCCGTAGAAGGACACCGTCGCCACCAAGAATCGTTATAACTCGTAGACGTACACCATCGCCGCCCAGAGTGGCCGTTTCTCGAAGACGTACACCTTCGCCACCCAGAGTGGCCGTTTCCCGAAGACGTACACCGTCGCCACCCAGAGTGGCCGTTTCCCGAAGACGTACACCGTCGCCTCCAAAGGTGGCTTTACCTCGTAGACGGTCACCTTCGCCACCAAGAGTGACTGTTCCTCGTAGACGATCTCCATCGCCTCCGCCGGCGCCACCGCCGATTAAGATTAGTCGCCGAAGGTCACCTACGCCTCCGCCACCTCCTTCGGTCCGTCAACGATCGCCATCGCCGGTTTCAGCGAACGGAGCGGGAGATGTACTTTCGATTGAGGAAACCAACAAACTGAGAGCGAAACTTGGGTTGAAACCGCTGGAAGTCGGTCCGTCTACAATTCCGGAAGGCAGCTCTTCCCAGAGAGATGAGGATGCACCTAAGGATGCCAAAACCGGGAAGAGCTACGAGAGAATTAAGGATGATTTGGGAGAATTCTATCATAAGCCAGCATCGAGTTTGACGGCGAAGACGAAGGAGGAGAAGATACGGGAGAAGCTGAAGGAGCGCAAGGAAAGACGAGCGATTGAGGACAAGTTGAAAAAGGTTAAGACCCTCGGGGAGGATGAAGAGATGGATGATCTGAAGAGCTGGGCCATCAAAACGAGGGACAAGCACCGTCTGAAGAAGGAGGCTGACCAGAGGGCAAAGTTGCTGGATCAGCTGGACGAAGAATTTGGGGTGGGAGATTTAGTGGATCAGGAGGTTCGTGATTCGAGACGAGAGGCCTACAAAGAACGTGACTTGAGAGGATTGAGGGTAGAGCATGACGTGGAAGAGTTCCAAGAAGGTCGCCAGGTTATTTTGACATTGAAAGATGCCGATGTTTTGGATGAGGAAGTTGGCGATACGCTGGTCAACGTAAATATGATCGATGACGAACGCTACAAGAAGAATGTTGAAAAAAGAAAGCAGAAACCCAATCAATACGGATACGATGTGTATAACCAGGATGATGTGGATGAGTTTGGCTTTCCGAAGGAGAGAGACGTTCTTGGAAAATACGACGAAGAGATCGGTGGATCGAAAAAGTCCAGCTTCACGATCGGTTCCAATGCGGAACATGACGCTTCGGAGAAACGAAGGCAGCTGGAAATCAGAGCCAAACTGCAGAACAAAAAGTTAGACTCGTTGGATATTGTTCCGCTGACGCTGGCTTCGGAATATTACAACGAAATTGAACTGGCCTCGTTTAAAAAGCCAAAGAAGAAAGTCCGTAAGATCCGCCAAAAGTTGCGCCCAGACGATCTTCTGGCAGCCGTTCCGGAATCATCATCCAGCCAGGATCTAGGATCAAGGTCCGCTCGACGTTCTGCACCGACTGCCACCGAGACAGAATTACAATTCCGGATCAGAAGACAAGACCTCATCGTGACCGATGACACCCCCTTTCTCCAGGAGGATCTAACCAACGTAACTGTCGAAGAAGACGACGAAGATCTGCAGGCGGTCCTTTCGAGAACCCGTCGGCTCAAACAGAAGGAAGCCCTCATCTCGAAAGCACTTCCGTTCGATCCTAATCAGATCAAGAAAGAGATCAAACCGGAAATGGAATCCGACGAGGAAAACTCCAGCTACGACACGCGAACCCGAGATGGTGCCATTCTGCTGAATGCAACGGCCGAATTCTGCCGAACCCTCGGTGACATTCCAACCTACGGCTTGGCCGGAAATCGCGAGGAAGACGTAAACGAGATGATGGACTTCGAACAGCACAGCGATAAGGAGCAGGACGAGCTGGAAGATCGCGCTGCTGGAACGTGGAACTCAGTCAACACCGAACAGGAACAGGAAGAACTGGGCACCTCTGCCGTCCTCGTGGATGACGTTGCCATCTTGGATGAAGAACCGGACGTGGCTTCCAGCGTGGCGGGTGCTTTGCAGCTAGCCCAATCCAAGGGTTATCTGGAGAAGGAAGAATCCAACCGTCCATCGAACGCTCGGTTCGCTCATCTTCAAGCGCAGAACTATTCAATTGAGGACAAAAACTACGGCGACGATGACAAGTACTCGCGCCGGGATCGGTTCAGCGGACCGATCATGGACTTCAAGGAGAGGGAAACTTTCAAACCAAATGTGAAGCTGGAGTACATCGACGACAATGGGCATCTGCTGACACCGAAGGAAGCGTTCCGCTATCTGTCGCACAAGTTCCACGGCAAGGGACCCGGCAAGAACAAGGTCGAGAAGCGGTTGAAGAAGAACGAACAGGAAGGGGTGAGTCTAATGCTTATTCGGTTGTTTAACAATAATTTCAAATTTCCCTCTCGTTTTCAGCTGATGAAGAAGATGAGCTCGACGGATACCCCGCTGGGAACTTTGAATATGCTGCAGCTGAAGCAGAAGGAAACCCAGTCGGCGTTCGTGGTGCTCAGTGGCAGTAAACAGAACACCAGCATTGTGAAGCATAAACGTTAGGGGCCGCCGCTTGTCGCCTCCTAAAGGAGGACAGTAAGTATATCGTAAGAATTATGCCTTTAATGGGTTTGCAAAGATTTTCTCCGTATTCTATTCGCTAGAATTTCCGCAGAAGTGTTCAATAAAGCTGATGGAAGTTCTGGGAATTGGTTGCTGTACAGTTGGTTGGAACGCGGTCATCGATGACAGGTCCCATACAGGTTGGCCAATCTTGCTCTGTCGAGGGAGGGACATAATTGAGCGATACGTCGGTAATGAGTTCGGTTGGACTATAGATCCATTGCTGTCGTGCAAGAGGCGTTTTTTTGTGGGGAAGCCAAACAGTGAATCAGCAATGACTGCAACTGAGAGACGAACTAGGGATCCTGCGATTGAAAGGCTGCTATTACTTTTCTTCTTGACTTTGATGCTCGTGCTACACTTAGACATTATTACCGACCTTGGTAATTTTACCAAACATTCAACAGCTGAAATCGGTAACATTCAGGCTCTATTATACTAAAGAGGAGATTGCAGATCAGCTAGCTTCTTCGCCACATCAGGTATTCCGCTGGTAATCGATAGTCAGTTCTTTTACGATCACGTGTTTCCGAGGTGGCCGTTTCGGAATGGCAGTATTAAAACGCGACACGTAAAGTTAAAACAAATTAAAACTGTATTTTACGATAAAACAAGACGATTTCAAATTACGCGTGTTCGCGGTTCTTAGTGTTCTTCTATTTTTTTCTTGTTGGTGCTGTAACCGACACCAACACCGACAGAAGAAGCGTCTGCCGATACGACGATGTCGAGGTTCGGGTTGTAATGGGTGAGGAGCAAATCTGAAGCAACAATCTCCTTGGAGCTCATGAACGCCAGTTGGCAGTGTGTTGTCCAACGGAATTCGGTGCCAGCTTTGAGTAGCTCGTCCAACGGGAAGCGAAGAGTTCTCATTCTATGGACGAATTTATCGTAATAATTAACCGCCGGAGACATCAGTGGGAGGAGCCATGTCGATGATAGCTTGAATCTCGCTGGATCTGGTCGTAGCCCGTTGCGGTCGAGCAGGTAGCCCAAATATTTGATTTGTGGCTGAGCGAACGTACACTTCTCTGGCCGGATGGTGAAACCAAATTCTTGAATCCGCTCCAACACTGCACGAAGATTGGTCCAATGCTCCTGAGCGTCTTTTCCGCTAACAACCACGTCATCAAGGTAACCAGAAGTGCACGGGAGACCAGCCAACATGGTGTCTATAAGCTGCTGGAATGCTCCTGGTGCTGTCTTGACTCCTGGTGGTAGACGGTTGTAGCGGTACAATCCTCGGTGGGTGTTGATGGCAAGAAGATCTCGGCTATCTTCGTCGACCTGGAGGAAGGCGTCAGAAAGGCCTACCTGGCTGAACACGGTGCAGTTGGCTAACTTGGCGAAAATGTCTACCGGTAACGGGAGAGGGTACTGATGCGGTTGCAGGGCATCATTGAGGCCGGTAGAATAATCCCCAGAAATCCGTATGGAGCCGTTGGCCTTGCGGACGACTACAATCGGGGCCGCCCAGTTGGAAAAATCAACCGGTGAAATGATCTTGGTTCGCTCCAATCTGTCCAACTCGTCATCCACCGCGCTGTACATGGCGTAAGCCACAGGACGTTTAGGGCGAAACGTCGGTACTGTATCTTGCTTGAGCTCTAGCTTGAGTTTTGTTTTCGTACACAATCCAAGTTCACTTCGGAAGACTGCCGGAAATGCCGCCTTGGGGGTGTCCACAGTGGTAGAAGAACTGGTGACACGGTTGCAGTAGGCACTGATAGGTGTCGTGACCGGATCGAGGTTCTCGGCTGCTCTCTCCTTGACTGCTGAGGTTAGGTATCTCACATTTATACCTGCTAACCAATCAAAATTCTCTAACCAATGAGATTCCGTTTACATACGGACTATCACGCTTCACTTTCTTGTAACGAATTTTGGAGGTGACGGACCACCAGCAGCAGCAATAGAAGCAGCCGCCCCCGTGGGAGCTGCATCGCTAATTCGTGTAGCCGTGGCCGAGGCTGAAAACCTCGGTCCGGTCACAACAACCCAAAAGCATCGAGCATGCGATCCCTAGCAGCTGAAGGGACTTCTCCACCACGTAGAATAATTGTCCTTGGCGTTGCTCACCGTTGATTGATACGGTGCAGACGAACTTGAAAAGTAGCTTTAGTGGATCTCTTGACGCTGGTTCGGCTCGTTCCGTAGATGGCATTATCGGTGGCTTGGAAACTTTCTCTCAGATCCGCTTCGACACATCGCTGATGTCAGATTCAGTGCCCAACTGAAGACGTACCCCAAGTAACCAAAAGTACTGATAAAAGGCTATTTGTGGCTTAAGCAGCTTGGTTGGAGGTGGTCTATAGAATTCTAAGCAGCCTCATTTTTAAGTCGTTATAAGAACTTGAAAGTTCCGGTATCATAATTGAAGAGCATTCTAAGCAGCTTCTGGCGGAACTTGAACGGAACTTTTAGAAAATAAATTAAAAAAGGTTTACACTAAATTCTATAGTTTGCACTTTTATGAATGTTATTTCTTGAGGCAGGTATTAATGTGTATTGATTTATCAGCATTAGTAGTAGAATTGGAGCTGTTTGAAGAAGTAAACCCAGTCCTTCTGCGTGATAGCCCCAGCACGAACCGCTGCCAGAGATGCCAGATTGTTTTCTATGCAATTCCGTAGACTTATTCAAATCTACGGATTTCTACGGATTTTTTTAGCCGAAGGTGATATTTTTTTTAGTTCTATGGTGATATTTTACGTTAAATGAAAAATCGATGAATGAACTTTTGAAAAATTACTAGGGACAGCCCTCTGGGGTTGTACGCAATAGTGACGTCGGACTACGTGGTCTTATATAATAAATGTTATTTGTTAACTGCAGCAGGACTTGTGTTTTGTGTAGGAATTGGAATTTGAGCGGGGTTCTCTCTGTTTATACTCTTTAGTATGACTATGATTGCCCTGAAAAGAAGCTTTTGATATGAATTTTAGTTGGGACATGTTCAGAAATTTAACTCTTTTGGAAAATCTTTGTGGCCCTGAAAAGGGCCTATGGTAGTACAGGCATCAGTGTTGGCAAAATCAGAAATCAATTGATATTTTTCCGCTCTCATGCGCTCGCAATATCACGCGTGATAATGGAACAAAATATCATGCTTGATATTGATTTTACAAGCTCCTTTGATAATGCGAGACTATTCACAAAGGGCAACAATCAAACTGAGAGTTGACTCGACACAAAAATGATTCCATTGCACATCATTTTTTTTTAGAAAGAGAAAGCATAGTTTGCTATCTCTTTTTAATCTTCACCGATGGCAGACGCGAAGGGACTGCTGCAAGCCGTTATGGAAGTTTCGGTTGCATTCGGGTGTAGAGCAAAATTCATTAAACTCAATCTCACCACAGTTTGGTGAGATTTGCAGTTGGTGAGTTTTGTTAGCTTGATATTCCGAGCTGCGATATCACAGCTTGCAAAATCAACCGCAGTAGTTTGCTTGTTGATTTTTGTCCACGAAAATCAAGCGTAATCTTGGGCGTTGGTGAGATTTGATATTTTGATATTTTCTCAACACTGACAGGCATGAATACCATGATACTGTTGCACCTGTAGTTTTTGGCATACTTTCACTGATTGCTTCCCGGGGATAAATGTTCATCCACGGTGCTTAAAACTCAATCGTATGAACCAGCTTGTACACACAGCACGTGATTGGATCATCATTGACCAGAGTTGCTTTTTGTAGTGCAGTCAATTCCTGGATAGGATCTGTTAAGTCATTGCCATTGCGTCCTTCTGAAAATGTAGAAGATTCAACAAATGGGACCACTTCATCTCATTTGCACTAAGTGTGTGGAGCATCGTAGGCTTTCCCAATTGTCGCATCATGGTAAACAAATTTATCTTCCTTTGTTACCAATACTGTACTGAATTCGGTATTGATTTGAGGAAGGATAGATTTCGCTCAATGTACTGCTTGTCCCCGTGCACTTAAAAGTGTATTGCAAGCCTTCGGAAACTCTAAGCCGTAGAACTTTCATTGTCATATACAACAAATGTTGTGGTTTGCCCACACGCCTGTCTTGACGACGAGTTTCACTGGATGCCATCATGAAATATGTCATCCGAATCCCTGTCTTGAATTTCCGTAGATGGTCAAAACATATGGCAGGAAAAGCTATCTCTTCGCCGTACTCGTCATATAATAAACCCTGTTTTGCGTGGGAGTGACCTCCAGGCATTTGTCCTTATTCCAAAGGAGCGTTTCCTGTTGCCCAAGGAGCAATTCTGTCTCATTATCCACGGCAATGGTTTGCAGCTCAATTTGAGGATCCACTGCAGGGGTTTCAAGACCATCTATGGTGATCTGATCAATTGTGATCCCGTAGCGGTGGTACAGTGGTGTCGTAATCTAATCGGCATCTTGCAGTGAAACTTTTCCAAGCTTTCGCCACCTACATTTCGAAGTGAGAACTACTAGAAGGAGGATAGTTTCCAAATTTTCCAAGAAAAACAGACGCTTTTTGGGGCAAATATCCATAGAGAAAAACTAATAATTTCCCGTGGAAACTTTTGCTTGAATCGTGTAAGAAAACGTGTTTGAAAACTATTTGTTATTATTTCGGTATGGATCGGAGATGTTTTCATGGCAAATTATGCATAACAAGTTTGCACCCACAGGGAGAGGTTACCTCCTGCGCAGCTGCATTTTTCGGAAAATGGTGAATATGTGCGATTTTCACTAAGATGAAAGTGGAAATTAAGTGAATTTACTTAGGAAATGTTGTATCATGCTGATGGTAATAGAGAATTGGTTGTATAGGACGCCACTATTCAATAAATGTTCATTTTGGCCTTTTTTAAGCAAACACATTGACACTCACAATTTGCGACGGAAAACGCACCGGAACTTGATTTACTCAACACGCACCATACTATAAAATGGTGCTAGATGGTCGTCAAAGTGATAACAAGATGACAAATCATCTTTATTTTGAGTAATTGAGCAATTTACTTCTGTTT